TGGGGTAATGGGTACGGCTTCCAAAATCCAGAGAGTTTAACCTGGACTGGGGTCATTGGTAAACTCGAGAAGAACGAAGCTGATCTGGCAGTATCTGAATTTCGCATAACGAACGAACGACTCGATGTTGTTGATTACACAGTCCCTATCGGAGTCGGAGGTACTCGATTGTATTTGAGAAAACTTGATGCAGCGCGTCTCCAATGGAATGCTTACTTCAAGGTATTTTTTTATCGGGATTGGACTAATAGTCAATGGAAAATTGAATAAATTCTGATATAATAAATAATAAATAAATATAATTTTGGTATTTCCAGGCGTTTGCAGTGAACGTATGGATAATCATTATCGGTTTAATTATAACAGTGCCAGTACTTTTGACTCTGATGAGGTATAGGAAAAAACGTTGCAATCTTTTTTCACTGGCTCTTGAACACTATTCGGATATCTGGGGAATTTACTGTCAACAAGGATTATCGGGTACTGTATTACTGATTTTATGGCCTATTTGAAACACTGATGTACATGATTAGGATTTTAAATAGTATTCCCCAAGGAAACATCATTGCGAATAGTTTATCTATCGATATTCATATCAGCGCTGGTCAGTTCAGGCGCATATTCTGCATCATTGATCAGTTTTCTCGCGGTTTCTTCTTCGTATTCTCCATTCAATACGATGGAAGAATTCGTGGAAGATGGGAGTTATCCACTCATAGTACTGAAAGACAGTCCAGACTATCACATGTACAAGGTAATTACGAATTATTGTTCAATTATTTTCATTATACCCCCCAAATCATTGGATGGAATCACAAAGTTATTGCTAATCGCTTCTAACTTTGCAATTTTTGTAAATAAATTTCTGAGGAACGGTTGATAAGATTCACATGAAAAAAACATGTTCATGTCTCGCGAAATTTCATCATCGGAATAATTTTCATACTTCACCAAAAATTCAGGAAAATTGTTATTAAATAGTAATTATTATTGTGAAATTTCGTTATATCACAGACATCCAATCAGACGCTCGTCAAGAAGATGATGGCACTCATGAAACCGGTGGATTTACTACCTAGGAGTTATCAAGAAGGATTTAATGAGGTATAATGATAAAACGTAAAAACTGAAAAATTTCAGTTGGCTTCATTTTGGATTTTGAATATAAATCAAGTTTATGCATTTGATTTATTTACAATGAATTTTAAGATATGCACGAAGAGAGTGGCATTTTATACTCATGAAGCAATAAGAAGAGCAATGGTCAATAAAATACCCTGTGAGATCACTGCAATAAATACTGGAAAAACCGAAACGTTGGGAATGGCTCTTCCACGAGGGAGTGAGTACAGAGGACTAATTAATTATCAGT